GCTCTTCATTATGTTTCAGTATTCAATATCCTGGTGCTATATGACACTGTTCCACTGCTTTTCATAAGGTTTTCAGTGACTACATATTCAGAAGTAGTCCATCTCTCTTTCCTCCTAGTGTTGCTTAGTCTGGAAGCTTAGCTGAAACCTATCTACCGTCAGTGACCCTGCATTTTATTTAAAGTACAAGTGACATAGCTTCTAGAATCATAGCAGCATGCGAGTCACCGCAGTACGGCAAGCTGACAGTCGAGTGGTGGTATTGAGAAGTAGCAGTGATAAATAAGTAACTATGATCTCCCTGTGTAATAACTTGATGTGTGCATAGCATTGACTTGATAAGCTGATTTATAAGATTTTTATTAAGAGCTACTTATGCATGGCACTTGATGGCACTTAACAACAACAACTTATGCATGTCTAGGTTTATGACAGATTTATCTTGAAGTTATAGTCCTTTTACTTTCTTTTTGTTGATTAAAGTTTAGAAAGTATTATTAAAAATACTGATTTGAGAATTATCTACATGTAGGTGCTCATCCTAAATGAGGCAGGGGTGATATTCTGTAGTTTAGCATAACATTTTTATTTATCTTTAGTAATAGAATGTTTCAGATGTAAAAACAATGTCTTCTTGTAACGATTTTAAGATCACGTATAGCAAAGATAAAGTATATGACTGTTTCCGTGTTTTGAGGTACTACATGAAGCTTCCTTTCTTCCAGCTGTATTAAAGGGTAGACTTAATGAAATCTCAGTTATGAGTATTTCACTCCTTAATGTGATTAATAATCCAATGACCTTCTCCTCATAATTATAGAATGTAGTTTATTGTCTTCCTCTGTCTTTTTTTCGTTAATTTAATGATCAGTAATTTTTCTGCCACTGAATGAAAATTCAGAAAGTCCCACATCTACTTTCAGGTAATATAAACAGACTCACTCTAGTAATTAAAAATGCCCAGTCCTAGATAATAATCATAACTTTTTAAATTTAATTTGAAGTTGTATTTTTTTTTCCTTCCCTTAGTTCTTACCTGCTGCAGAAAGAAAGTCTACAATTGAAGTAGAGCATATATTTCACTCTAGAGGATATATTACCCTTTTTCCTTCCTTCTCTTTGTTGTTCACCTCCTTCCGCTGCTTACTAGCCAGTATTTTTGCTCCTTTAAACTGAATCATGGGGAAAAGAAAAGAAATATGGAAAGCTGGAATGTTCTTACACATATAGTAACTTGGTGTTGCTTATTATCTATGTTCTCTGGGTTTAAAAAGAGTTTAACAATCAGTATACTAGGAAAAATTTCCATAGCTACCCATGTCTAATGTATTGTTTCTCATTTTAAAAAAAAAAAATTAAGCCATTTTATGAATAGTATATAGATTTAGAAGTGAAAATAATCTTTTAAGATTTTAATAAGGAGACTTGTGAGCGCCCATTTTGCTGCTGTCCCTGACAGACTCTCCCGTCGGGGTCACAGGGATGCTGAGACTGCCAACTGGACCCTTCCTGACCGTGTTAACCTGGGTGGTACTTTCTGCCGCCACAATAGTGGCCCCCTCCTTGAAAGTATTGCAAGCCACAAGGGTCTTTCATACAGGGCAGCCAAGTCTTGCCCCTATACCACTGCTTCCTGAATATGGAGGGAAAGTTCATCTTGGTCTGATGCCTGAGGGATTCTCCCAGTTCCTTTATCCTAAAAACCAGTGTCACAGGACCCTATATGCTCGGAACTGGACTTACCTTGTATTGTCTATTCAAAGAAATGTATGTGGTTACTTCAGAAACAACCTCTACCATAACAACAGCGGGATTGCTTGTCTATGTAATTTAAAAACTTGGTGCCTCTTTTGGACAGTTTGTTGATAAACTCAATGAGCAAAAAAATTACCCGACTAGAAGAGGCGAAACAGACTTCCATCAAATACATTCAAGATGCATTTGAACTTGAGAAGGTACAGAAAACGAATGAATAATATTGCCTTGGAGGTCACTTACTGGGAATGGCTGCACAGAGTATACAAAAAGGTGAAGAATCTCTTGGACTACCACATCTCTGTGTCAGAAAGAACAAGAGCACATGATAAAGTGGGTGGAGAAGAATGTGGTACAGAGCATCTCTGCACAGCAGGAAAAAAACAACAGCCAAGTGCATTCAAGATCTGAAGATGCTTGCAAAGAAGGCTCAAGCACAGCCAGTTATGTAAATGTATCTGCTCTAACTGAGACAGCTGCAAACAGTTGACTAAGTGGAAAATAGTGTATGTGATGAAATCTTTCTTTGTATATTGCTGTCTATTCAAGTTATAGTTTACCTTAACTAAAAATGAAGTTTGAGTTTGGCATATTAAGTGAATAAAACACAATCAGTAGCCAGGAAGGTGATTCTCATTATTCTTGCTCTACATTTGAAGTTATTCCATGATCACTTTGAATAAGCTGTTTTTAAATGAAGTTTGGTACCTAACTAAAAGATAACAAATTGTAGTCTGAACTTGTCATTGAGTCTACCATCTTGCAATAAAGGATAACTGAATGTTCATAAGAATGAAGCGTCATAAATTAAAATTTTATTCCACATTTCCCTGGGTTTAAAGGTATGTAGCTCTGGTAGCTTAGTGGTTACGCATCGGGCTGCGAACCGCAAGGTCAGAAGTTTGAAACTACCAGCTGTTCCGCGGGAGAAAAATGTGGCTTTCTGCTCCCGTAAAGATTTACAGCCTCGGAAACCCTATACAGGGTCGCTATGGGTCGGAACCGACTCGACAGCACTTAACAACAACATCTGAAATCGACAATGTCCTCCAAATGCAACTTACTAATTATATGTATCATAGGATACATTTATCTTGCAAATGCTAATGACATTTTTCAAATAATGTATCTTAGAATTACATTTTGGTTCTTATTACGTTTGATAATCACAGTGTACTATCTTTGTTCATAATGTTCTTAATGAACGAATAAATACTTTTCACCATAATTGTAAAGCATTTTTCATGTTTAGACTTGTAAACAGAATTTGTAATTATCTACTGAATTTTAAATTTCTACATCATTTATTTACTTTTCACTTTTAGATACACACCTGCCTTGATTATCATTCTGATTTTTAACAATAGTATCAAGTGTAAAAACAGCATGGAAGATGAAAGAATATTGCTACATTTCCTTTTAGAAGGAAAGTTGCACCATACCAGGACTCCTTTTTTTAAAACATCTTGTTAAGTACCTTCAAGTCGGTTCTGATTCACAACAACCCTGTGTAGGGTTTCCAGGGAGCCATGGGTGTGTTTAAACTGCCAACCTATTGTTTTCAGTCCATTGCTTAACCACAGTGCATCTCCAAAACCATTAAGAATAATTGCTAAATGATGAATTCATTACCAAAATGATGAAATAGTAAAGGAAAAAAATTAAGAAGTAAAATAAGCTCACTGAGATCCTATAATGTAGGTATCAGTGTGGTTTGCATACTAAATCGGACCCTTTCTCTGTTTTTGTAAAGTTTTATTGATTACAGTGATGCCCATTCATATAAATATTGTTTGTGACTGCTTTTGCACTACAACAGCGCAGAATTCAATAGAAGTGACAGAGATCATATGGTCCACCAAAAAGAAATGTTTACTATCTGACCCTTTCAGGGAAAGTTTGCTGACTCTTGCTATAGTATGTTTTGATTTATAACAGGGTCTTGAGGATCCACATGATAATTGCAGAAGTTTATTCTATTTTTTTAAGTAATTTTTCCCCCCTAGGAACAAGAGAAAGAAAAATATCATTCTTCACAAATAGTCCAAATGACTTAAAGAAACTCAGAAGCTAATATTGGGTCTAATTGAGGACACTGATAGAATACTAAGGGTTGAAGCATAACTTTCTCTCATTATTACTTTTGTGATTTCTTCAGAGAGCCCCTCTTTTAACATATGGTTACAATGAAAATACTTGTGCTTCTTTTTGGACTGGGATTTCATTCCCTCCTAGCAATTGAGCAAACTTTCAGATACTCTCTTCCTGTATATACAATTTAACCCTCCATATAGCTCTTCTGCGGGAGAAAGATGAGGAGTTCTGCTCCCGTAAACATTTGCAGCCTCGGAAACCCTGTGCAGGGTCACTACGAGTTGGAACCGTCTCCATGGTACTTAACAACAACATAGCAAAATATGTAGATATGCTTACTCCTTTTTAGGATATGTGGTTTTCGAGTTTTGCTCTGTTTCTGGGAAATAACCCAACCCCAGTGTAGCCCTCTAGGATAAGCACTGAACTGTTGCAGTTAAGCCCATTAGTTGCTCCTCAGAAACCCTTATAGGTTTCAAGATTTGGAACCAGTTCAACCACGCACTTAAGAGCCACAACAACAGCACTGTAGCTACATCTTATAAACTTTTATACAGGCCACTTTATCCAGACTCTTGTCTATTCAATTCATCTAATATATACAGTAAATGATACCTTGAAGTTCCTCTATTTTAAATTGTGTCAAATAAGAAAAGTCTTCCCACTTGTCAGCCTTCGTTGAGGAGATGGGCTTCCTAGTGCACTAATATCTCTCCCAAACATATTTCTTCCTCTCACTCTTTTATATACTCATGCATTTTATATATATACATACATATACATATATACATACACACATACACTCAATGTAAGAGCTAAAGAGTCTGGTTTTATGGTTTTATCATCTCCTCCTTTGTTTTTTCTTTAAGTAGTCAATCACCTGTTCTGCAATATTATATCTTGATACTTCAGCTAAAACTTGTAATTTAGCACCCTGTCATATGTTTCAAAATAGTAATTTATTTTAAAAATCATATCACCAATATGATTTGACTATTTCATAATTTTTTTGAGAATGACCCAAAAAGATGTTTGATAACTTTTGTCTTCCCCAAAGCATTTGGTCATTGGTCAAGTCTTAGATAATGCTCACTAATAACAATTTGACCTGACTTGTTAGAAAGTAAAAACCTGTTCATTTTTATTTTTAGTTTCAGGTGCAGCATTATATTTCTCAGAGTCTGGTAACACTGGGAAGTTGCAGCTTACTGAGAAAGCCTATTGTATCTCTGCTTCTGGCAGAAGTGAACAGCTTTGTTGATGAGCTGGAAACCATCAATCAGGTACTTATAAATAATGTAAAACCATAGCTATCATTTACAGTTAATATAGCCATAGTTTTTTTCTCTTCTTTCTTCTTCATCTCTTCCCTGTGTTCTTGGCAGGCTGACCCTTCAGTTAATATCTTACCAGGAGTGTTGGTGATGCATTGCTAACTGAAAGATCAGTGGTTCAAACCCATCAGCCACTCCACAGGAGAAGGATATGGCAGCCTGCTCCTGTAAAGATTGCTGTTGTTAAATGCGGTAGAGTCAGTCCCAACCCTGAATAGGGTTTCCAAGGAGCACCTGGTGGGTTTAAACCGCTAACCTTACGGTTCAAACTGATTTTGCAGTCCAGCGCATTATCCTGAAGTGCCATACCAGGAGTCCCCCATAAAGATTACAACCTTGGAAACCCTAAGAGGCAGTTCCACTCCATCCTACAGCGTCCTGAGTCACAATAGGGTTTGGTTTGGTTTGTAATGTATGTGAATACTGTTACTCCCTACTGAAATAACAAAAAGGTAAGTTCAGGAAATAGTTTTCAAAATAAACAGTTTCATTGTCCTTACTTATATGCCTATGTCAAAAGTGCTGCGGACAACAGCAGGGAAGTGCTTAGATGAATGATCTTAAATATCACCAACCATGTTGCTTGTCCCTAAAGCAAAGCAGTAAGGGAGAAGTGAAGCAGAAAGGATCCTAAATGGAGAATGGCCTCCAGGCTGGTGTTCTCATCCTTTGCTGCTCATAAGAATCATTTGGCTGACTTGCAGTTTCACATTGCCAGGCCACGTGCCAATCTAATTATACAGGTTCTCTGGGGTTAGAACCATAGTCATCATTTTGAAAGCTCTCTAGGTGAGTCCAGTGTATAGTGAAGGTTGAAAACTAGTACTTTAAGCCCTCTTTATCTGTGCTAGAACATTCTATATCACTGCTAGCAAAATTGTCCAGGGAACTTAAGTCATTCCCATGTTTAAATGTTGACACTGGTTTATTATGTGCTCATTTTGTTAGGTCTTTCATATTCTTACCAAATTTACTTAAATAAAAAAATATCTATCTATCTCTATGTATATGGTTTCTCAAAGCTTTCAAACAAGTGTTTTTATTAGTTGCTCTTGCATTGGCCCCAACTCATATCTGTTGCATGTACAACAAAATGAAATACCTCATGGTCTTGCACCACCTTCATGATTGTTGTATGCTCATGCCCACCAGTGGGGCTCTGGATTTAGAGTGCCTTTCAACCTAAGGAGTTCATCTTCCAGCATCCAATGTAAACCCTGTGGATCACAACAAATACTCTGTTGTGATCCATTGGGTTTACATTGACTCATTTGCAGATTTATTTCTCTAGACCTTTCTTCCCAGTCTGTCTTAGTCTGGAAGCTCTGTTGAAACATGCCCACCCAGGCTGATCCTGCTGGTATTTGAAATACCAGTGTCACAGGTTTCAGCATCATAGAAACAAGCAAGCCATCACAGTAAGACAAACTGACAGGCAGGTCATGGTTTAACCAAGGATTTACATCAAACTTTTCTTCTTTCAACCTATTCATGACCCATGGGATATATATCACCCACAAACAGTTTCAGCTTCTCAGATTTGTTGGGAAACTAGTACCTCAGTTGTAGTATATGCTACTGCCTGGCCAGGGACCTGGATAACTGCATGAATCTGAAGAAATAGGCCTCACACTGCTAATCCTACCACCAGAGTTCCCTTGGGCATACATGACCCACATAATTGTATCCAAATCCATATTGTAGTTTTGTCCCTTGCGTGTCTTCTGTGACTGACAACACATGGTTTCACAACAAAAAAGCTTAAAGTAGAAAATAACTCAATCATGAATTATTTCTAATATGTTCTAAAATATTTTATAGTATAATTAAATTTAGTGTATGATATATATCACAAAGTTAATCAGTAATTATTCAAGTGACTATTAAATCCTAAACTCTCTTTAAGAGCTCTGTAAATATGAAAAAGAAAAAAGGAGTGAGAACAAGGACGTCATTGTCACTCTTCTCAAGGATTTCACTAAGAAATCCGTTACAAAAGAGAAATAAGGGACATTAACTGAAAAAAAAAAGAAAAGAAAAGTGCAAGCCCTAAATTGTGTGGTGCTGGTTTTAGGAGTTATAACAATACAGGGAAAACGCCATAGAAATGGAACAGCATGAAAAGTAGATTTGAATTAAATCTATAGAAGATACAGAGTGTGGGGGCACTGCATTGTTATTTGGAAATATGTGTACCTGCAAATCTGAGGAAACATGGTGAGGTCTTGGCATTTGAAGAGAGGAAGCATTGTGGGAAGTAAAGTGGATTATTTGGAGACTAACAAATACAAATGTTCATATACACATTTCCATTTAATTTTTACAATCATTCCAAAACATAGTTATATTTTTGTCTCATTTATAGATAAAATCAGACCTTAGTGGTTTGACCAAGAAAGAGAATTTTCTAAAACCATAATTGCAACTTAGTTTATCTGATTCTTATATCACAATACATTAATAATTATCGTAATGATAACATTAACCACAGCAGCTACTACTAGTAGTTTTGGTCAGTTACTGTACGCTAGTATTCTCTTGGTGTGGTGCTGTGGATTAATGCATCAGACTGCAAAGCCGTTTGAACTGCAAGGTCACCAGCTGCTCCTTGGAAATCCTATACAGGTTCGCTATGAGTCAGAACCGACTCTCTTGCACTTACCAGCAACAACAACAATGATACAATAAGTGTTTTACACAAATTATACCATTCAATCTTTTAAGCAACACATCAAGATGTTCATATTATTGTTTAAGGGCAAGGAAACTGTCAGTCAGCATTTATAATAGTAGACAACAGAATCTATTCTAGCCAGTTTTAGCAGAAAAGGATTAAGGAGAGAAAGCGGTGGGCAGTCTGCTTCTATAAAAGATTTGCAGACTTGGAAATCCTATGGTGCATTTCTACTCTATCCTATTAGGTTACTATGAATCACAGGAGACTGACAGCAATGATTATGGAATTGTTAGGAGGGCTGAAGAAAAATATCTCAATCTATACTTCCAAAATGGTGCCTGTAGCCACACAGTAAAATATGTTCCTTAAAGGAATTGATCCTATTAAAAAAAAATTGGAGAAGTATTGAGTCAGAATGGAGAACAGTGTCTTTGTCAAAGTTTTCCAGTAAGGAGGTTTAGTGGAAGTTCCTGAAAGAGCCCTCCCACTCCCCATAAGGACTAAGACTAGAGCTATGTACATTGGCATGGCTGGCCCCAGCCTTGGTGGACTGAGGCCTTGACTGGAACTAGGTGCTACTTTCAAAGCCCTGACTGGCCAGAAACATCCTTAGACCATGTGCTGAAGGAGTACAGTAGAACTTGCCTGTCATCTTGAGTTAAGGATAATCACGAAAATGGGAGAAATAGCCTTTTTGTGGAGAAACTGAAATCAGTAGAAATACATGCAGGTTTTGAGGGTGTGTCAAATAAAAGTAGAGAAAGTTGAAATCTAGAAACAAGACAGAAATTAGACAATACAAAGGTGTAGTGGAGGTACAGGTTTCTCCAGGGGAAAATAGCCAAACATGTATGAACAAACACTCAATTGGATTGTCAGATCACTTCCCAGAAATTAGAGAGGTCTTAGTATCAACTTAACTAATAGTTTCAAAGATACAGGCAATCAAAAGACTTGAATGAAACAGGAAGAGAAGTAGAGCTTCTCCAGGTATTTGTTTTTCACATTAGATACATCTTTCTGGCCCAGAATAAGAGGTCTGAAGTACAATTTTGCAGGTTTCTCACAAAAGTTACTAAATAACTCCATTTTATAGTCTAAATATTTTTACAGTTTATGTCAATATCTCCAAGGAGTCATGTCTCATAGATTCTGCGTTTATTTACTCTAAGTGATTCTTTATCCAGAAATATGCTTCCTGAGAACATTCAAAAGACAAAGTTGTATCCTACCAGAAAATACCTGAGGCATTTGTCCTCTAGTAAATACCAATAGCTTCATTATCTTTCTTCCAACTTTCTGTATAGTTCCTAGGAGCATTGTTTATTGAGCCCAGTCAATTAAAAAAGACAGATTCTTTATAAAAGAGTATTTTAGTTGTTGGCGTGATAACTAGAATTATAGTGTTACTTTCAAAACGATTTGTATAATGAATACTAGTAGGCCTGCATATAAAGCTATATGCCAATAAGAAAAAGAGAGAAGCATTCCAATAGAAGAATGTGGTTGCGTATGAAAAGGCAGTTTTATAGAAGAGGAAGCAAAATAAGAAATACTAATATGAATGATGTTCAACTTCAGTAGCATCAAGGAAATGCACATTACATGAAAAAAATATTTTATGCTGATTATTTTGATGCAATTTCTTTAAAAATCATATTAACAACAATATCAAATATCAGTGAATTTGTAGGGAAATGAAATTAATTACCCAATAAAGTTAAAGATGCATAGCCTCTAAGATACTGCTGGTCCAGTGTATGAGGAGACCTGTATAGGTATGCTCATTGTTATTGGGTGCCACTGAGTCTATTCTGACTCATGGGAAACCCTATGCACAGCAAAACACAGTCTAGTCCTGTGCCATCTTCACAATTGTCGTTATGTCTGAGCTCATTGTTGCTGCTACTGTGTTAGTCTATCTCGTTGAGGGTCTTCCTCTTTTTCAGTGACCTCCACTTTACCAAGCATGATATCATTCTCTTTGGAGTAGATCCTCACTTCTAAGGAGCATTCTGGCTGTACTTCTTAGACAGATTTGTTTGTTCTTCTGGCAGTCCATGGTACTTTCAATATTTTTTGCTGGTACCAATTTCTAAATGCATCCATTCTTCCTAGTGTTGCTTATTCATTGCCCAGCTTCCACATGCATATGAAGTGACTGAAATCCCATGGCTGGAGTCAGACACCCCTTAGTCCTGTGATTTCTTTGCTTCTTGACACTTTCAAGAGATCTTTTATAGCGTATTTGACTAATGCAATCATATTTGAT